CCGTTTGTGGTCCAGTTAGTTCTCCCAGGATTTGAGGCCGAGGGCTTTAATATTCCACCTAGTACCCGATGCAGGACGAGGTCTTTATTTTCCGGGTTGTGCACACAAGCGGCCGAGGCCGAGGGTCTTTTGACCACAGTTCAGAAAAGAAATGATTTCAGTTTTTGCTCTTATATATTGATGTCATGATATCGTTATTATTGATGTTGTCTTATTCAGTGCTGGTCAGTGTGGGGGTCATGTACTGGGTTCCACATCATCGCTAATTACTTTACCATGACTGAGGTATGTTCGAGATAGTTAGGTCTCCCAAGATTGGAGGCCGAGGGCGTTAATATTCCACCTAGTACTCGATGCAGGCCGAGGCCTTTATTTTCCGGGTTGTGCACACGAGCGGCCGAGGCCGAAGGTCTTTTGACCACAGTGCAGAAAAAAAATAAAAGAAAAAAAAATGATTTCAGTTTGAGATCTTATATATTGATGCCATGATATCGTTATTATTGATGTTGTCTTATTCAGTGCTGGTCAATGTGGGGGTCATGTATTGGGTTCCACACATCTCTAATTACTTTACCATGACTGAGATATGTTTGACATAGTTAGTTCTCTCAGGTTTGGAGGCGGAGGCCTTCATATTCCACATGGTACCCGATGCAGGCCGAGGCCTTTATTTCTGGGTTGTGTACACGAGCGGCCAAGGCCGACAAGGGTCTATTGACCACAATTAAAGTTTAAGAAAAGTTTACAATACAGTACAACTTATTTATTATATGCTGCTTTTAAGTTTATGCTTACTGTTGAGATTAGTACAGTCCTAGCTTCCCACGTTTTATGACTAAACCTCCACTATTGAATGTTAATATAATTTAATGATTGAAAAAATAATTATTTTATTTTTGTACTATTATGAATCATTATTATATCTAAGATCTCGTTTTCAAATTAATACTCTTTCTATAACGAAATTTGGTAACCAACATGTCAAATATTTTAGTAATAAATTTGAAATTAAACTGAACTTTATGAAGTAAATCTTTTACAAAATTTAGAGAGAATTAATTATTTAGAGGTGATATATTTCGAAAACATATTTTATATGTACTATACGCGTGTCTTACAATATCGAAAAAAATTATTTATTTCGAGAAAATATATTTCTAAAATATTATTTATTTAACAATGAGTTATTTTTAATTTGGGCATATAAAAAACTTCGCATATAAATCTTTAAAATTATTTTATATTCTAAAAAACGATAGTTTGCAATTAAAAGATATTTATAACTCCTTCTATTAATAAAAGAAAATAACCACCTATAAATTATTAATGGACAAAATATCTTTTGAAATTAAGAGAGGTCCATCTTGCATGTAATTTGGAGATTAAAAAAATAAAAAAGATATGAAAATCTCTTATACATACCGAACCGACGCATTATACCCAAATCTCCATATTAAACCCAAGTTTAAGTTCGGTTCAGAACGGATATTTCTTGAAATGGTTCGGTTATAGAGATCCAAATTTATATGATATCCAAAATTTGGTTCAGTTATGGAGATTAATTTCGGAATATTCGAACCAACCAACCTGTGTTCAAGCATAATTGGCACAAGAAAAAAAAAAACATTAATTAGAAAAAGGTGGAACTATTAATATCATTATTATACAGAGATTTGCATGAGTATATTACTAGTCAATTAACTCATTTAAATGTGGAAAGGTAGTTTCCTCATCCAGCCTTGTCTATCATCAATGAAGGAAAAGGACGTTAGGTGGTTCAAATATCGTGGGCTGAGCTTCTTTATCCACTTGACCCTCCTCGCCATGTCCGATCCTAAGCCCTTACAGCTATGCTCAGCGAAGGTCAACTGGTACTCCCGCCCAACGTTGTACCAACTATCCCATCCTTGAGGAACTATTATTTCAGACATCGAACTGTTGTAAAACAACACTCGAGCGTAATCCCTCCACGCCCTTCCTAAATAAGTATTCCCATTTCCCACTATTTTGCACTCTTTGAACACAAAACCGTTCGTTTCTTTATTACTCGATCGTCCCTGAGCGGTTATGTATCCCGGGACGCCATTTGGTAGAGACCCCGCCACTACCGATATCGTGCATCTCTGCACGTAAAAAAATAAAGAAAAACAAATTAACGAATATTTAATTGCAATTTGATCATATTTCTTTTCTTTAATTATTATTACCTCATAGAGGGATTGGCCTGCGCCAAATATGAAATCGACGGCCCCTTGAATACTACAGAGCTTGAAGTAATGTCTGCCGGCAACGTCCCACAATGTGTCTTGAAAACCGAAGAAACCGCATCGGTAGAACGCGGATTTGTCGCCTTGTATCATGGCTGCCACTGCCGTCTTCATCGGCCTTTTATTATTTGGAGGAGAATTGTAAGAGTTCTGGTCCATCAAACACAGAGTATATATATATGATCAATTGTCCTTCGGATTTGCTTTAACTTAATTTAATAATGGTCCACTAAGATCAACCTTTTTTAAAAATCATCAAGAATGACGACTAAATTGTCACTTTAATCAAAATTCATACAATCAGCAACATAGTATATTAAAAGTGATTCTTTTTAATTGTCACATAGATTTTTTTTGATAAATGAAAAACATCGTGTAATAAAAATAAAATTGAGCCATTTTTTTTTTTTTTTT